CCCTCGGTAGAGTGCTGTAGTGTCACAGCTCACAGCAAGCTCAAACTCTTGGGCTTAAGCTAGTCTCTTGCCTCAGCTTCCCAAGTAGCTGGGACTACAAGTGCCTGCCACAATGCCCAGCTATTTTTTGGTTGTAGTTGTCTTTGTTTGGCAGGGTTTGAACCCACCAGCTCCAGTGTATGTGGCTGGCACCCTAGCTGCTGACAGGTGCTGAGCTGTTCCATTGCACTTTTAACTATAAATAGTCTTCAAGAGCCTTGGCCAGGAGAAGGGCTGTGAGAAGAGAATTTCCCCCAATGCATTACAGGGAAAACTTAACAGCTGGGCCCAGGAACACACACACACACAACTTGGCATGGTCCCCACCTCAAAAGAGCTCCCAGACCACAGTGGGAGCAGGTGCCCAGTGAGACTACAGCTTCATGAGGTCAAGGCTGTATCAGACACACAGAGGAGGACACCCAGCCCAGGATGGGAATCAGGATGGTTTCCTGGAGGAGGCCATTCTGGGTGAGAGAGGTCTCACATCCTAGAGTTGCCAAATTTAGCAAATAAGAAGCAAGGTGGCCAATCAGATTTGAATCTCAGAGCCAGTAACTTTTTTAGTATGTTTCAAATATGAGATGGAAACATGGTTGTGCTGTAAAATTCCTCATTGTTTATCAGAAATTCAAATCCAACTAGACACCCCTACTGGCTTCCCTTCATCACTGTGATTTATGGATGAAGCATTGGGCTCAGAGAAGGGCAGTGCCAGGGGGCTTCAGAATGGGGACTGAATCCAAGTCTCCCAGTTCCAATTCCAGACTGGAGTCTGACAAACCAATGCACTTCCCATTTCACTGTTACCAGCCACAGTTAACCTGAACAGATGTTTCATGCAGGGCACTGTTGGTCAGGTCCTAACAAGGCCAGATGAGCGTACATGCCAACATCTGGAGATTGTTCATTCACTTCCAAAGCCTACTATCATAGATTAGTTGGGGAACTGGACTCCATGCTACCATCAAGGACCCAGGGCACTCTGTACACACAGTGAAGTATTCACTAACTTTAAATTTAGTCTAGAGTAAAAATGTTTTGAAGTTATAACCACTTTAAGATAGGAAGATACTGTGTAACTTTGTAATCTATGGGAGGAATCTGTTTGTGATATACTGTGATGAGTAATAACATTACTGATGTTTACTTTTACTGTGCGAATAAAAAGTTAGAAGGGGAAAGAGGAAAAAGAGATATCCTTGCTGCTTTCTGGAATTGCTGGCTTTTCTGTAAATGAGCTGTTGATCTCTCCTCCACTTCACTGACTTGGGTACAAAGCAGATGGACCCCTCCCTCAGTCAGGCAACACCACCACATAACCAAGTGGCATTGGGCTGGCTACTGAATCTGAACCTCAATTTGCCAATCTGTAAAATGGATGGGTGTGGTGGATAAGAAAGCCTCCCCTCTCTGTGGTCTGGAGACCACTAGCATCTGCCTCACCTAGGAGAAAGATTAGAAATGTAGAATCAGAGGGCCGGGTATGATGGCTCACACCTGTATTCCTAGCACTCTGGGAGGTCAAGGCGGGTGGATTGCTTGAGCTCAAGAGTTCAAGACCAGCCTGAGCCAGAGGCAAACTCTGTCTCTAAAAATAGTCAGGCATTGAGGCAGGCGACTGTATTCCCAAGCTACTTGGGAGGATGAGATAAGAGGATTACTTAAGGCTAAGAGTATGAGTTTGCTGTGACCTATGAAGCCATGGCATTCTATCCAAGGTGATATTTCTTTCTTTTCCCTTTTTTTTTTGAGACAGAGCCCCAAGCTGTTGCCCTGGGTAGAGTATCATCACAGCTCACAGCAACCTCCAACTCTTGCCTCAGCCTCCAGGGTGATATTTCTAAAAATAGAAATGCAGGTGGCACCTGTAGCTCAAGTGGCTAAGGTGCCAGCCACATAACCAGAGCTGGCAGGTTTGAATCCAGCCTGGGCTTGCCAAATAATACAACCAAAAAATAGCCAGGTGTTGTGGCCCGTGCCTGTAGTCCCAGCTACACCAGTGCGTTCTATACCAGTGGTACTGCTTCTTAGCAGGTTTGTGGAAGGATAGTAGCAGGCATGATGGTCGTGTTGAGTTCTGAAGGTATTTCAAAAGGAATAAACTAAATAACATGCAGCTTGCCCAACAAGGTGCCTGGCACATAGCAAATCTACTTGGCAAGACAACTTACCCTGTGCAATAAAGAACCACTTCTTCCTTTACCCTTGTAAAAATGGATATGATAAATGGAAAAACAGTAACTCACAGCCCCTTCTATAAGGCAGGCATCACACTGGGGGAAAGATGACACTTGGCAGGGGTGACACCGCTGATGGGATTTGATTTTATCACCAGTGCTAAAGACCGAAGTCCCACAGAAACTAATTCTCCAAAAGCTGAGTCATTCATCTGATTCTCTGCTAAGATGAGCATGCACCTGAGCCTTTCGTGCTCTGGGTCCAGAGGTTTCCTGGCAGGCACATGCTGTCCTCCCACCACTATCACTATGTCTACCTCTGCTCTCTGATCAGTGTTTCCTACTTTAAAAAAAAAAAAAAAACCAGAAACAAAAAAGAAACCCTGAACTCTTTGTCTTTTGAATTTTTAACATGTGACTGTACACATTTTGGTGACAACCATTCTGGTCTGTGTGGGGATTACCCCTTACCCTGGAGAATGCACAAATGCTATTTCCTTCTGCCCTTCCCATCTCAGCATAAACTTTGCTTTAAAGGTGCCAGCATCCCATCCAACAGGGCAACAACCCCTCATAATTCTCATACCCTGGATTACCCCACACTGTGCACTAGCTTACTATCTGGGCTCCTTGCCTCATGGGCTGTACCTTGTCCACATGATTCTAGCCCCTAGCACAGAGTCCAGACACACAAGCATGCGTCCAGGCCTGGGTGTGCCATTCCGAGCTGGAGATTGCACTGCACTCTGCTGACCTTCCTGCTTCAGCCCATGGGTCACCACCAGCCTAGAGACCATCCAGGATTTCTTGCTGTTTGGCTGAAGCCCTGCATATCCATACAGCACATGCTGTACCTTTTGCCCCTCCCAGGCCCCCATGGCCTCCAGAGCTGCCTGGCTTTGTATAGCCTAAGGTTTGTGTGTTCATCACACACATCCCCTCATGAGGCCCGTCCTAGTCCTAGTCTGGACATGTACAAAGTTAAAGGCACAGTCAAAGAGACTGGTCAAAGAGACTGAGTTCAAGAGATCAACCCCTCATACCTGTCTGTTCACATGTAAATGAACATCTCCAGGGCTGTGGGGCTCTAATGAGCCCTAAACACTTTCCCTCTGTAGACTCAGGACAAGAAGATGGACCCTCTCTTCCAGTGCCCCCATCAGTTCAGGCTAGACCAAGTACAGGGCCTGCTCTAGCTCAGGGAATGGGAAGAGGGAACAGCATGGGCAGGCCTCAAAGTTCCCACGATGGTACCTGCCCCCATGGTGGTGACAGTCCCAGCAGTATTAGCTTCTCCACTGGGGTAGACCAGACTGGCCAACCTGCCCTCCACTGCCAAATGGCCCTGCCCAGCCCTTACCTGCTCTGTGACCTCACATTTGCCAGTATTTCTGAGCCTCATCTCCCTGCATTTAGGACACAATAGCCTTCTCAAAGGTTGTTGAGCTAAAAGGAATGTACACATTCAATAAACAGCTGCCACTCCTCACCTGAACCCCTCTGCTCTTGGCCGAGACCCCGCTGTCCCCAAGCAGGGGTACAGCATGGGATTGGCTTTTATGTTCCTCCACCTCATTCACTCATAAGGAAATCATTGGGGATATCTAATCTCCTCTCCAACCAAGGTGCTTCTGGGATGCAAGCCCTATTGATAGTGTGTAAAAGCACCAGGGTCAGACAGGCAAGACAGGCTGTACATTACTTTAGACAACAGCTTGGCTCTAACATCCACAACATCCAGAGCATGGGACTAAGGCCAGACCTCAGCACCATAAACCCTCTCCACCTATCTCCTTGCTCACACTTGTGACAGGTTGCTCATATATTTCCTTTTTCTCTCCAGCTCCATTAACTGTTTTCCCTTTTCAATACCCCAAGGCACCAGACTGCAATACTGGCAGCTCTACTTCACACCTGCCGGTGGATAACACTACTGCTCCCACCACCATCATACATTCTGACTTCCTAGGGCTTAACAGAAGTAGGGATCAAACAAGCCCCAAATGAGAGGTCTTGCTGCTACCCCTAGTCCTACCACACCCTAACTGTAACTAAAGGCCCAGATCTCTCACCTCCGTACAAATTTTTACCAAGATTCTACAACTTGGTTTCTTCCTGAAATATACTCAAGCACTTCCCTACTTTGTCTTAGCTCTCCCTCTCCCAACCCACCTCCTCATGCCCCAGCCTGGCCTTGTGACACTGTGATAAACAGGCAGTATCTATGGCCCCAAGTCAGCAGAGAATCCCACCCCTCTAAGCCCCATAACAAGCAAACTGAGAGGCTCAACTTCCACAATGGGGAGTCAGCTGGAGAGCTGGAACTGGGGCACAAGTCAGGACAAAGTGCATGTGAACAGGCATGTCACACCACCACTCTGTGCATGTAAAACTCATAGACACAAGCTCAAATTTGAAAGGTTCAGGAAGAGACCAGCAGAGAGCTGCCCTGGCTCTTCTGATTCTACAATGTGCATGTGTAGGGGGATGGGGAGTCAAGATCAGGAAGGCCTTTTCCTGGGGGTACAGGTTCATCTGGTTGCCTGACCCCAGGTAGCAGGGCTTCAGGGGCTGAACAGGAGGGCTTTGGGCTGGCCACAGCTGCGTGCTGGATGATGACAGGGTTCCCTTCTCACAGCTTAGGATCAGCTCCACACAGCTGATTTCTGCTGGCCAAGTAAGTACAATAGCAGAGCCAGATGCTACCACCCTCTGGAAGTTTCCTGACTCCTGAGGTTTTAGGTCAGAGTCCTTTCCTCCATACATGCCAGAAGCAGCACAGGCTGGGGCAACAGAACCTTTATTCTGTTGTTAAGGAGCAAGACGCCAGCCTGGCAGTGCCAAGGCACCAGACTGCAATGGTGAGAACTCATCAGATGAGAATCCCAGCACTGCCTGCCCCAGAATCCAGGCTGTCCAGGCACTGCTTCAAGCACCAGAGCCACTCTGTCCACGCAGGGTGGGAAGCCCGTTCCACACTGTGCTCAGTCTCAGAGAGGCCCAGAGGATCTCAGGAGGGCTTTGCTGCCGGTCTGAATTTCTTTCCTTTGTGCTTGAAGCTGCGCAGTGGGTTCTGGGCTTTCACCTTCTGTGGAGCAAAGTCACAGGTTAGTGGGAAGAATAAGACCAACAGACTAAGAGACCAACTGTCCAACTATCTGTCCACCCAAACTGAGAAAAGACTTTGTAGACACAAAAGGGGCCTTTGATGTCTGCAGGGCACTTGGCAAGGACCCTGCACGCCACAAGCCAACAACACCAGAAACTACTGCGGACACTGAGGGAGAAAGGGCAGCAAGGAACAGAAAAGTAGGGACTGTGGGTGGCAGAAGTGTTCCCAGCCCAAACAATTTTGTCTGTCACCAGATTTTCTGGACTTCAGTGCCCCCTCTTCCCCTACACAAAGGTGCCTTTGGTGATGACAAAGCAGCAAGGTGGGGGAGAAAAAACCACAGCTGTGCCCAAGGCCCCTAGGGGCCATACCTTGGTCTTCCTACAGGAGGAAGATAGCTTTTTCCGCTTCTTATGAGGACGTACAAGGCCACGAAGAGCAGGAGGAACTGGAAGAGATACTTGGCCTCAGCAACAGCCTCACCACTGCCACCCCAACCCTGTCCATGCCACAAACCTTTCTCAGTACTGCCTACCCTCACCCTACCCTTTTCCCTGACTTTGCCCCAAATTTGCCAATGTGACAGCCTGTGATATATTCACTACCATGTTTGCACAGGGACAGGAGAATGTGAGCTCATTAGACTGCCACTATCTAAATCAGTCTTTCATAGTATTTAAATTAGCTGCAATAAACATGCAGCAAGAAAGAAAAGTATCTTGCAAGAAAGAAAATGCAGCTAAAATAAGTGTATAGTAATTTCTTCACCCGTGGCCTATTAGTATAAATTCACTGCGCCCCCAGCTGGTGCCCCACATCTTTCCTTCCATTCCCCCATCCCAGTCGCACCTGACTGTGGCTCTGTCCTCTCTTCATCCACCCCCTGGACTACCCTGACCAGCCTGGGCCCTCTTCAAAGTGTCAAACGTCCCCCATCCTGCCATCTTTCCACCTTTCCCTGGCCTTTCAAAGCCTGCTGGCCGCACCCTCCTGGCAAGTAACTCCACTCCTACTCAACAGAGCAGCCTTGGTTCCTCAGGCTAAAGCCCAAGTCTTGCCTTCTCCCTGCCCCTTTAACCTGACTCCCTTCCTAAAGTCTCAGATTAGAACCCAGGATGGGGTCTTCTCCAGCTTGCTGTCCTGTGGGAATCTGACCCTCACCACTCTCTCTGGCAGTACCAGGTTCCTATCTCTTCTAGATCCCTGTCTCTCCCCACTTCCTACCACAAAGGGGCATACATTCGCTGCCCATGGACTTCTCTTTGCCACTCTTCTCCTTTAATCTATTTTAGGCATAACAGTCACACATGATCACTACCAAAATACCACACACAGGATGCCAAAAAAAAGTCATTATCCAGAGCTTGCATCAGATGAGAAGAGCAGCCCAGGTTTAATGGCTGTGTACACAAATGTCTGGCCCTGGAATTGTCTGTACCACAGAAACAACTCCTGGGGTCCTGACCTCACAACTGCCATCCCTTGTACCCCTGCTCTGCCCCAAGTTCTTCCCTTTGCTACCTCATCTATTTACACCTTACAGAACCAATTTTTTTTTAAGAGATGGGGTCTACTATTGCCTAGGCTAGCCTGAGACTCTTGGGCTCAAATGATCCTTCTGCCTCAGTCTTCCAAGTAATTGGGACTACAGGCACTTGCCAACACTCTCTGTCAACTGTCCTTTACCAGCAATTCCACGGATATCTCAGCCTCAACTATGAGGCTAATCCCATGGGCTGCTTCCTGCTGATGACTCTCGCTCAAACTGTCCACTTCCTCCAGTCCAAGGAGGACACAGGTTTAGCCAGTCACTGGTTCATTCTTTCATTCAGCCAAGCCTTTAGACTACCTGGCCTTAAATCCTGGGTTTGCACCAACTCTGCACTACCTCAGTTCTTGAGGTTTTTTTATTTTATTTTTTTTTTGTAGAGACAGAGTCTCACTTTTTCGCCCTCGGTAGGGTGCAGTGGGGTCGCTCCAGCAACCTCCAACTCCTGGGCTTAGGCGATTCTTCTGCCTCAGCCCCCCAAGTAGCTGGGACTACAGGCGCCTGCCACAATGCCCGGCTAACTACCTCAGTTCTTTCTCACCTCCACAACAGAGACCTCAAGAGATACCCTGCAGGATAGGACGAACAAGTTTTATAAGAGTAAGGTGCACTTAGGTGCACCTGCTTATGGATATGCATGCTACCTGGGTCTCTGAGGTCGTGTTGTACCAAAGCATCCCACCACTAAGCACAGGGGCTGACATGCAGTAGCTGAGGAACCAACACCATTTCTCCGAGCCCACTGTCTCCAACCACCTCAGCCACACTCACCCAGGTAGTCAGGAACGTGGCCCAGGTGAGGTTTCACCACGGCAGGATGCAAAGGCAGGTCATGCCGCAGTAGCTGGAGGTCCCTGGGATTGTCCTCAAAGTATGTCTGACAGGGAAAGAGTTAGCACCACAGTTAGCACTTTTCTTTTGTAACTTCACAGACCGAATTATTGAAAGGATAACATAGTCATATGTTTTAAAATTTAAAAGGCCATGAGCAAAAAAAATTTTTTTAAATTAAAAATAATGGCAGTGCCCATAGCTTAGTCTGCAAGAGTGCCGGCCACATACACCCAGGTTGGTGGGTTGGAACCCAGCCCTGTCTACTAAGCAACAATGACAATTGCAACCAAAAAATATTTTAATTTTTTAATTTTTTTTTGTTTTTTTATTTGCAGTTTTTGGCCAGGGCTGGGTTTGAACCCACCAACTCCGGCATATGGGGCCGGCGCCCTACTCCTTTGAGCCACAGGTGCTGCCCTGCAATCAAAAAATAGCTGGGCATTGTGGTGGGGCACCTGTAGTCCCAGCTACTTTGGGAGCCTAAGGCAAAAGAATTGCTTAAGCCCAAGAGTTGAAGGTTGCTGTGAGCTGTGATGCCACCACACTCAACCCAGGGCTATAGCTTGAGACTGTCTCAAAAAAAAAAAAAAAAAAAATTAAATTAAAAATAAATAAATGAATAAAAGGCATGAGCAATCAACACTGTAAAATTTTCATACTACCTGTGTCCCCATCATGCTCCCTGCCTAGAGGCAGCTAGTGGGCTAGATTCCTGTGCTTCCCTCTGAGTCCTGTGCACTCATACAACACCAGCACACATAACACTCCTCCTACTCTGGACTGCACACAGCAGCACCCACACCCCTTTCCACTTGGCATCATGCTACAGACTACTCTGTATCAACATACAGCCTCATCATTCTTTCCTGTGCCTGTGTAACCTCAGGCTCTGGACACACCCTAACACACCTAGCAAGCCCCTCTGTTCCCACTTTTTAGTTCCACAATAACACTGTGATGAATGAGAACACCAGTGAGACTATGCACATTCACAAGTATGTCTGGAGTTGAGTTCCAGAAGTAAAATTTCTTGACCAAAGGGCACTGACAGTGCCCACCCTAAAGCTGTGCCAGTTTACCTCCCAGCCAAACTGGCTGGCTTTCCTCAGTGGTTCTTGCCCTGTTTCCTCCCTCTCTCTGCCAAAGACCAGCACACTGCCTGCCTCTGCTTCTCACCACTCAGAGCTTGGCTGATCTCCAAGAAGGGCAGCCACCTAAACTATGCCCCACCTTCACCTCACCTTGAGCTTCTCAGAGTGTAGGAGCTCCTCCTTGATCTCCTTCAATCTCGCCTCCCGAATGGCCTGTTTAGTCACTGAGCGCATGGCATCCTAGGGGTGGACACTGAAGGTCAAGACAGACAGGCTGCCCCAAATCCTCCCTCCCACCTGGATGCTCAGGTACAATCCTTGGGTCAGCCCTCTATGCACATGACTCCCCTCCCTGCCATGGTCAGCTTACCCTGCAGCGATAGCGGAAGCCCTCAATCTCCTCCATCCGGAACTGGTAGGGGAGCAGAACAGGGGCCCCATTCTCTGGGGAGAAGACAACAGGGTCCCAAGGGTTGAGGGCTTAAAACAAGGTCTTCACATTAGCCCTCCTGTACCTTCTCCCATGGTAAAGGAGCAGAGGACCCACTGCCCCCCTGGCATGCCAAACACTCAGCTAGTTTGTAGCAAGGTCTCATGGACAGTGGTGATTCATTGGTTCCATGTGTGAACAGGGATGGCCCGTGTGCCCCTGTGTACAGACAGGGGTGACCTGTGCATCCCTGAACCCAGGACCGGCTGTTCACTGTCTCTTCTCCCAAGGATGCTGCAGCCCCAAGCATAACAACACCCATAATAATAACCAAGGAGAGCAGCTGAGGAACATGCAAGACCTTGGGGTCAGGTGCTATTGTGAGCTGTACAAGGGCAGTATGTAGAGTCACCCAATGTTCATGAGGCAGACAATACTTCGGTTTGCTCATCTCTCAAAAGGGACAGTGCCTGCCATACAGGGCATGACAAGGATGATAGGGAAGCTGTCTGTCACACTACATAGCTATCTGTGCTATCGTTGTCATGGAATTTTAAGGTGTTGTGGAAGAAACCTGGCCCTGGCCCAAGCACAAAGGAGCCAGGCTCTTACCTCCACTGAGAAGTTTCTCAATCTTGTCCAAGTGGGCCTTCTCCGTGGGTAGCACAAAGGTCAAGACTATGCCTAGGTTGTTAGCACGTGCTGTCCTATAAGTAGAGATAGCCAAGCCTGCACCTTCAGCCTGTAGGTTCTCACCATTACACCGAGTCCAGCATGCCCACTGCCCAGGTGCCTGGCCTATCACTCCCAACCCTCCTACCTGCCAGCTCGATGAATATAGGCCTCAGGGGTGGGAGGAAGATCAAAGTTGAGTACTGCAGACACGTGGTGGAAGTCTATGCCCCGGGCCACACCTGCCTCTGGATCAGAGCCCCTACAGAGAAGACTCAATGTTAGCAAGACCCTTCCTGTCCTCTGGGTGGACATTCTCAAGCTTAATTAGCAAAATTTTCCCTAAACAAAGACTAAAGACAACAGGACCCTGATATATAGAAGACTGATAACAAAACTGTTCTGGGAGTTGGGGTATCATAGGGTAGCCTGAAGCTCTTGACATGTAGCCAAACCCTTGCTCTGACCTCAGTTCTAGGGCAATAGCACATCTCATTGCCCAATGGGGTAATCTGAAAACCACCCTGGGCCAGTCAACCCTTCAGGTGGCCAAAGACTAGGGGCTTCTCCTTTCCCCCCAGAAATATGCTCCCTGCAAGCCATAGACACACACCCAGTACAAGCTCGGTCACCTCCCCTGCAGAGGAGTGAGCACCATCAACTGAGATGTAATCTTGTCCTTTGTGCTGCACATCACTCTCCTTCAATGTACCCCCTCAGCTAAACAAGGGCTTAAGGGGCTCTCTGGGCTATGCTATCAGCCAGGCCTAGAACCTCTGGCTTTTGTTATGTGCACTCTGGTTTTAATCTTCCACAAAGCTTCTGGAAAACAAGCTTTTTTTTTTTCTTGAGACAGAGTCTCACTTTATAGCCCTCAGTAGAGTGCTGTGGTGTCACAGCTCACAGCAACCTAAAACTCTTGGGCTTATGCCTCAGCCTCCCGAGTAGCTGGGACTACAGGAGTCCGCCATGATGCCTGGCTAATTTTTAGAGATGAGGCCTCACTCTGGCTCAGGTTGGTCTTGAACTCATGAGCTCAGACAATCCACCCACGTCGGCCTCCCAGAGTGCTAGGATTACAGGCATAAGCCATCCTGCCTGGCCGAAGACAAGTCTTTTTGAGGAAGGATGAGAAGAGAAAAGAAATCTGGACTCACTTGTCCCCTCTGGGCCCTCGGCCCCGACGCTTGCCCTTTGCTGGAGGTCCCAGGACTTCAGCATCAGTTGCTATGACAGAATCGTAGAAGCCTTGGTTGAACTGTGAAATGATGTGGCACCTGCAGTCCAAGAATGGAGGGAAGGTTAGCCCTGCAGAGCAAGCTGGAGGCCCTACTTCCATCCCCAGTTTCATAGAAACCATCACCCTTTCCTACTTCTTCTTCCTCTTAATTTCTTCCCCTATTTAATCTTTGTACCTCAAATTCCTCAGCTGAAAATCAAGTAACAGAAGGTATTTCAATGTTGTGAAGAATAAGTATCAGTCAAGTCCAGAGGCCCCTACCAAGTACATGAGAAATAGGAACATTTACTGAGACCCTTTTCAATCCCCATCTTCCACTTATCTAAACCAGATGTTGGCTATGGCAAACCTGGAGCGCAGTGGGAGTTCCCCATTGAGCACACAAGTGGGGATGCTGAACTGTTCCAGGAACAGACGTAGACGGTAACTCCGCTCCAGAGTGTTGACAAAGAGCAGGGACTTGCCCCGAATCAATGACAGCTTTAGCAGGGCATATAGCAGCAAGAATTTGTCTTCCTCAGTATCACAGACCACCTGAAACTGCTGTAACTGGTCTGGTCCAGGTAGTTGGGACTCCTGTAACTTGAGCGTAACCTGGAAAGAGGATAGGCCTGGGGTCAAGAAAGCAAGAGAACACAGAGATGCTAAGCCACTTGCTCAGCAACCGAAGCACTGACATTTTAGTGCAGAGCAGAGTTGCATTTAAAGATTCTTGGCACCCTAAGTCCCCTCCAGTTTTGTAACCTAAAAACTCAAAGTACTCGAACTGTTGTGGTACACAGAGACATAAACCATATATAAAACATTTGGGGCACAAAGAAAATCACATCAATAAACAACTATATTGAGTACAAAAGGCCTATGGTAACAGGCCTTCTGAAGGGTAATATTTAATTAAGGTGAGAACTCTGGCCTTAGAATTTTGGCTCTATCACTCAAGGCAGCCCCTTCAGGGATTCCTGCTCAGGCTTTTATTTATTTATTTGTTTTGAGACAGAGTCTCACTATGTCACCCTCAATGGGAGTGCCATGGCATCACAGCTCACAGCAACCTCAAACTCTTGGGCTTAAGTGATTCTCTTGCCTCAGCCTCCCTAGTAACTGGGACCACAGGCGCCCGTCACAACACTCGGCTATTGTTTTGTTGTTACAGTTGTGATACCAGGTGCAGTACAGGCAGAAAGCCTATATACTTGTGCCTTTTTGCCTCTGAGAGTGAGTAGGAATAAAAGTCGTGTTTTTCTACAATGTAGAAGACTCTGAGGTAGAACCCCCACTATGGCCTTTGCCCTAGCTGGAGGAATGTGACATTCCACTGTGCTGACCTGGGCCAGGGGGGCTGGGGCTCGTAGGCACATCATTGGTATACTTTTGGAACCTCCGGATTGTGGACTGACAAGATTAAATTACTGCCTCCAGATGGCTTAGGGCTTCAAAGACTAGACAAACAATCAGTTTCCTCCCCCTGTGGCCGTTTCCGTATCTATCAAGAATCAGGCCAGAGAGCTGATAGTGTGTGTTTCCTTGATTACTATTTTGAACATAATCAATAACTTAGAAGAATGTGTATTATGTATCTAGCAGACATGTGTATCACTTAATCAGTAGTCTAACAGGAACCTAGTAAAAGTTAATTGGTCTTCTTACACTATGTCACTGAGGTAATGGAATGATTATTGATTAACAGTGTGTACATGCAGACTTGGCTATTTAATCTAGTGAAGAGATAAAGAATTTTGCTGCTCGCCATTTTAAGATGGTAGTCGTCTTTGTCCTATATAATTCCAATAGCAAGACTATACTCTGTGACACCAATCATCTGTGACACCTAACAACAACAGGGGAGGCCAGGCTTGAACCCACTAGCCTCAGTGTATGTTGCCAGCACCCTACTCACTGAGCTATGGGTGACGAGCCTGGTAAAGCTTTTACACAAAGCATGGTTTGAACTGGGAAATAACCCCTGGGGCCACCTAGAAATATGTAGTTATTTTAGATCACTGGATTTTAGTGAACCAGAGATAAGATACCCAGTGACAACTGTCCTACCCAAAACACCAAATACTCCTCTGAAAAGGAGTATAAAGTCTTAGACTAGGAGTATCCAACCTACAGCCTCGGGCTGATTTTGTGAGGACTTTTTTTTTGCCTATCTGTGGTGTCAGATATTATGAAAAGTATGCACAAACCTTTTTGCTAATTAGCTTTCACAAACATTTGTGTATTTAATGTGTGACACAGGACAACTCCTATTCTTCCAACATGCAGCAGAGAAAAAAAAGGTTGGACACCCCTGTTAGAGTATCCCCATACCCACAGCTCTACTCATTCCCATGGTGCTCCTTACCGGGTTATGTAGTACTAGCTCCTTGAGTGCTTGTACATCCTCATTAAAAGTAGCCGACATGAGAAAAGCCTGGTAAATGCGGGGCAAATGACTGAAACAAAACAGAGCCTGATCAGGTGCCAGGCCCAAGGGCCTCTAATTGTGGCAAGTGAACTTTTTTTTTTGAGACAGAGTCTCACTATGTCGCCCTCAGTAAAGGGCCAATGCGTCACAGCTCACAGCAACCTCAAACTCTTGAGCTTAAGCAATTCTCTTGCCTCAGCGTCTCAAGTAGCTGTGACTATAGGTGCCTGCCACAACGCCCGTCTATTTTTTGTTGTAGTTGTTGCAGCTGTCATTGTTGTCTTAGCTAGCCCACCAGTCTCAGTGTATGTGGCAAGCACCATGACCACTGTGCTACAGGCGCAGAGCCTTGGCAACTGAACTTCTCATCACCCCACCCCACTCTCTACACACAAACATTTCCACTAGGAACTACCTCCACATCCCTTTCTTTCTTCTTTATTTTGTTTACCAGAGAAGATTCTTGAGCTCTTCCTCAAAGCCAAAGGAAAAAAGAAGATCAGCCTCATCTACCACCAGCAGCTCCAGGGAATCATGCAGTTTCAAGTTATCTTGCTGCAAGTGGCTTAAAATGCGGGAAGGGGTCCCCACCACCACATCTGGCTTCTCCATCAGCACAGCTCTGCAGGTGGGCAAAACATCATATCAGTGTAACGAAGAATGTAGCAACTGGGACCTCAACCTTTCTCACTTGTTACACATAAACCCAACCCCACTTTTTTGTGTAGCTTCATTGACCTACAGCCCTGCTGCTTTCACTCACCGCTGAGAGGCGGAGTCGTCAGCAGCTGAGACATTGGCTACCCGGACATCTCGAGCACAATAGGCAGCCAGCTGCTGAATCATGGATTGGGCCTGCCGTGCCAGCTCCTTGGTAGGAACAAGGACAAGGCCTCTCACAGCCTGTTCTACCACAGGACCTGTCTTTAAAAACATGAAGACTTTAGCTAGCAGGGTACATCACTGTGTCTAACGGATGCTTTTCACTACCTCTTCCATGAAATCTGTTCCACCCACTGCAATACAACTCTGCTGTGTTATGACTAATGCCTCACTCTACCCACTTTAGAATGTAGGGTAGAGAGTTCTTTTTCCAGGCACACACTCTCAAAAAGAATAACTTTTTTTTTTTTTAGAGACAGAGTCTAATTTTCTTGCCCTCAGTAGAGTGCTATGGCGTCACAGCTCACAGCTACCTCCACTCCTGGGCTTAGGTGATTCTCTTGCCTCAGCCTCCCGAGTAGTTGGGATTACAGGCGCCCGCCACAACTCCTGACTATTTTTTTGTTGCAGTTTGGCTGGGGCTGGGTTTGAACCCACCACCCTTGGTATATGGGGCCGGCGCCCTAACCACTAAGCCACAGGAGCCACCCCTCAAAAAGAATAACTTACTTTACGATTATGAAGTTACTTATAACATACTAGTCATAGAGCTGAACCCTCACAATAATTCTGTAAGCAGAAAGAGACGTACCTCTTTTTTATAGAAAAAAGAAAGCAATTTGTTAGAGACAATAGGTAAATTCGCACTTAATGGGTACAATGCACACTATCTGTGTGA